TATAAAATAAAAAATACTTTCCCTAAAGTTATTATTTTTTTTTTTTAGATAATGGATTTTATTTGAGTAAAATTTGCACACATACTTCCAGCCTAGTCAGATAACCTAAAACCATAGTTATGACTTCACTGTGACACCTCAAATTATTATTGGAGTTTCATCATATTGCAGAATGTGAAAGCGCACTACTTTTATTATGCCGAAAGTCACAATCTAACCGTGTTTACAGGATTGTTTATGACTGTTCAAAATTGCAGCCTTGCCGTTGCTGGGTAATTTATGGGCTTTACTTCTAAAACAAAGTAGAAAAAGTGTGTGATAGGGGCTGGACACATTATAAATACTCTTGGCTCTTGTTCAAGGAGACTTGGAACGAATCCATTCAGGTTTCTGTCCTAAGGTGACACCTAATTAAATTGTCCAGCCCTCCCACTCCTCCTCCTCCTCTTCCCTCTCGGTTCGCTTTGCATCTAATATTTACGGATACGTGCTTGAATAATTGCTCAAACATCTGCTGGGAAGTGATTTGTTTTCTCCGTTCCAGGGCAGGCTGCTTGGCAGCAGCAGTTGCTCTCAGGAAGTTTAAATGTCCCCTCTTTCAATTAAATGTGGGTGGATAAAGCCAGCCCTGACGCAGGTTTATTTATCAAATGTCGGCAAGTGATAAGCAAGCACTGACCAAAGGGAGTAAATCCCTCAACATCGTCATACTGCACAATGCTAGCAACCTGTACCGACTATTTATTTTCCCTACGACCACCTTTTTAGCTTGAATTGCAGTGTGCAACACCCACTGTGGAATAGGGTGACCAGATGACCATGAGCAAAAACTGGGGCACACATGCTGCTCAAATCATAGGGATTTAAGTTAAAAATAATTGTTCATAGCAATCAAATGGACAACAAGATTAGTGTCCCATAACATTAAAAAGTTGGAATATATATGTATATATTGTATTATATAATATTGTATAATATATATGTATGTGTGTATATACTGTATATATAAATAACAGAATTAAGTATGAGTTTGAGATTTGCAAATCATTGCATTCTGTTTTTATGTACACTTTACACAGCATTTTGGAATTGGGCTTGTTTATATAAATCATAATATATGAATCAAAAAATGTGTCATGGTTTCCACAAAAATATTAAGCATCCCAAATGTTGTCAGCATTGCTAACAATAAGAAATGTTTCTTGAGCACCAAATCAGCATAATAGAATGATTTCGGAAGGACCATGTGACTGAAGACTAAAGTAATGGCTGCTGATAATCCTAATTTTTTTATTCTTTTTGGTCAATAAATGCAACCTTGATGAGCTTAAAAGACTTTTTAAAAACTTGAAAATAATTTGGTGAGTGGAGTGTTTGCTGATACAGCTGTGTTTCTGTGTGCATCAGGTGGAGCTGAGCTGTCCAAAGGAGATGGCCTGGAAGGTGAATATGCATCGCGGTTACCTGGCCATCTGTCACCCTGAGGAGCAGCAGCTCAACTTCATTGAGCGGCTAGTGGAGATGGCCAGCAGTCTAGCCATCAGAGAATGGAGGAGACTGCCGCACATTGTTTCTCATGTGCACACGCCCCTGTTACAGGTGAGGACCATCAGTGCATGAGCTAACAAACACCCTTTAACCAGACGCTCTCCAGCTGTAATGTAATGTTCTTGATGGTTTTTCACTTTTTCAAACAGGGCAACTCAATCAGAGCACCACTAGCGAGCTAATCTAAATAAATTGGCAATTTTAAATAATGATATCTCAAAAGCAGAACATCTGGTCAAATATCTCAACTGACAAGCATGAGACTTGGGCAATCTCATTTCATTTGTGAGCGTGTGACTTAATGCAAACCCTTGTAGCAGAGCGAGTGGTTAGAGTTGACACTTTACTTATAATTGCCTTTTTTGCTTTGCATTTTTGCACAATAACTTATTTCTTTATCAGACCTGGTCCCTTCTTCCTCCCTCCCTCCTTCTTTTTGGCCCTTACTAAAATGGCTAAGATAGTGTTGACTGCACCATTGTGGTGCTCAATAGGCAACTTGTATTAATATTCAGCGGAAAGAACAGCCTCCTGACTGCCACACGCATAATCAGGCAGAGCACACAATGGGACGGAGCTGAGGTGATGTGTGCCTGTAGATTAGGGTAATGTGTGAGAGCTCTCCATGCACCACATCCTCAGGGGACTGTTAGAGACTTTCTTGAGCTCGGCTGTGGTGAGATGTCAAATATGACAGCCGAAATGAGGTGTTGTTGGTGACTATGATTATGCCACACAGGGTGTTATGGGTAATGGCTGATGGTTCTGTGGTCTCTGCATGATTGAAGAGTTGTATGTAGTGGATGTGTTCAGAACATCTTGAATACATGGGATTTTTGTTGCTTTATACTATTAGTAAATAGAAAATGCAGTACTGTGTCTTATTCTTAGCATTTTATTTTAAAAATGTTTTAAATAAAACTAATTATTAAAGGGTTAGTTCACCCAAAAAATAGTTATGAAGCTACGAGAATACTTTTTTGCGGATAGAAACCAAAAATAACTACTTTATTCCACATTTTCGTCTCTACTGGACACGCGTTCACGACAGTACCATGACGCGAGAAGTATTCTCGTAGCTTCGTAACTTTACAGTTGAACCACTGATGTCACACAGACTACTTTGTCGATCATCTTGGTACTTTTCTGAACTTTGAATGTGGTAGTTACCTTGCTGTCTATGGGAGGGTCAGAGAGCCCTCAGATTTCATCAAAAATATCTTAAATTGTGTTCCAAAGATGAACGAAGGACTTACGGGTTTGGAACAACATGAGGGTGAGTAATTAATGACAGAATTTTCATTTTTGGGTGAACTAACCCTTTAGTAATTTTGATACAATTTTAGAATTGTGTTGTTTGTTTCTTGGTTCATTAATTGTTCATTAACATTAGTTCATTTCTTTTTCTCTGTGGACTGCTTGCTAAAATGGAGAAACAAACAGAACATACTATGACACAATTTCTTTTTTTTTTTAAATAACTATTATTATTTTCTGAAGGAAATATCAGTGCTTGCAATACAGAAAAACATGATCATTAGTTAATTTCTTTTTCTCTGTGGACTGCTTGCTAAAATGGAGAAACAAACAGAACATACTATGACACAATTTCTTTTTTTATAAAATAACTATTATTATTTTCTGAAGGAAATATCAGTGCTTGCAATACAGAAAAACATGAAGTGTCCAGACTTTTTACTACAAATAACCAGAAATCAAACTTGATTGTAGGCCGTGTGCTGAAAGATAATGTGGCATTATATCCAACAATATAATATAAACATTTTAATTTTTAAATTCTCTGCATTTCAATGAAAAAATAAACAAAAGATGTATAAAAAAAATATATAGAAATGAGGATATGCTTCAGGCTTGTTTTTTCCCCTACTCTTCTGATATGGCAAATATTAATTTAAAATGGAGAAAGTACAATAGAATCCCAATCACAATTCAGTATGCAAATGTGATGTCAGCACTGACAGTTATATTTTGGTCATTCAAAATTGTAGTTTATTAAATTATATGTAAAAACAAAGTAAATCAATTCTGTATGTTTAAGCAGTAAGGGTTAAAGTTTAATAACTTATTAGTGTAGGTAAAGAACTGGCTGCTCTTAAAATACATTATTGGCCACACTGTATTGGCTGTTTTAGCCGTGCATTCAGAAATGTAGTCTTTGCCCCAGAGCGATTGATTTCAGTGATAATTGAATTTGCTGATAATTGAATCTATTTACACCTGCGCTCCTTAATGCAACCATACCGAAAAACCAAGTCCAATAAGAGTGATTGGAAGGGACGGGAGAGGCAGACAGAAGCCGTGAGACAGAGAGAGTGAGAATGCCACCAAGTTTAAAATGGCTCGTAATTACTTTTCCCCCATCAGATAGTGTTTGATTAAATACCTGCAAGAAAATTAAATTTACATGATGAATGGGCATTCAGAATGAAGGTTATTATGTGCCATCAGCTGATATTAACAGATAATTGTGAAAAATATTGTATTGCTTCATTTATTTTGTTTTGGGGGGATTTGTTTTGGCAAGTCCATAGACTGATTTGAGGCATTTATCTTGTAAAGCAGGCATTACTATTGAACGGATGGGTTTTGGATGCGTGTGGCATAATTCATTATCACGGCTCAAGCTACTCATCGTGCGCATAGTAAACCATCATGTTGTAAATCACCTTGTAAGTGCCAGACTCCCTCCCTCACGTCTTTCTTTTCCAATTCACACAGGAGATTAAAGATCCATGTGGCATTTCGGTAAGAGTGCAGTGTGTTTACTGGCTGATATGTTAAGGTCATGCATCAGTAGTTTGTGAGGAATGGGTAGCATTTTTTGGGTCACCGTGGCCTGTGTCCTCTGCTGGTGTGGTCCGTGTCGTCTGAGAGCGTGATTAGGCATTAAGGGAATAGATGCTTCACTTGTGTGCTTCCTTCTCTCTGCCCATTCTCTGAGTAAATGGCTTTTAAGATACTTTGATCCATCCATTCGTTCAGCCACCTCGAGAATTCGTTTCTCTATTTCTTTTTCTTTCTCAATAGGAATCATAAGCCTGTAATACAGTCACAGTAATGGATTTTGGAGAGCTGTGTGTGTGTGTGTGTGAGATGTGGTTTCTCGGATGACTGTAGCCCTCAGAATTAAACTGAGCTGGCGCTTTAAAGAGATCTTGAGGATGTTGCATCTTCCTGCTGGATGTTTATTAACTACATTGAGATTCTCATCTGTTTATTCCTGGATTATTCCTATTCAGGCGGCGCAACAGATTATTGAGCTACAAGAAGCTGCTCAGATCAATGCAGGCCTCCAGCCCGCCAACCTGGGCCGCAACACCAGCCTCCACGACATGAAGACCGTGGTGAAGACCTGGAGAAACAGGCTTCCGATTGTCTCCGATGACCTCTCCCATTGGAGCAGCATCTTTATGTGGCGGCAGCACCACTATCAGGGTATGCCAGGATATGGAGATGAATTCCAGTGACAAACTAATTATTATGTCAGCACTTTTGATCAAATTTATTTATTTATTTTCTTCTGCAGCCATTGTGACTGCTTATGAAACCAACACGCAACATGATCCAAACACTAACAATGCCATGCTTGGAGTGCACGCCTCCGCATCAGCCATTATTCAGTATGGAAAAATCGCCCGGAAGCAAGGTCTGGTCAATGTAGCTTTGGACATTCTGAGTCGCATCCACACCATCCCCACCGTGCCTATTGTAGACTGCTTTCAGAAGATTCGTCAGCAGGTTAAATGCTACCTACAGTTGGCTGGAGTAATGGGCAAGAATGAATGCATGCAGGTGAGTGAAGTGACCAAAGCATGACTGCATATTCTCTAAATCAACTAGTCATTGGGTTCCCCGAATGGCTAGTCATCTAATCTTTCTGAAAGATAACCTGTGTAATTGCTGTGGTTTTGGGGTCACCTGACCCCAATCAGATGAATGTCTTAGAGCATTCTGTATGCTAATGAAGCTGAATAGTGAGTTCATGGGTTTTCTTGGGTTTCGCAGCAGGTTCTAGCTAGCCACATAGATTTGCCATATTGTGTGATATACAAGTAAAATGCTTTCTCATATGAGGAAAAAAAAGTAGGACAGGACTAGATTTTAACCATTGGGAATTGATTGGATCATTGTTGTTTGTTAATTGTTACATGTGTGCACACTGCACACGTCACCAGAGAATTATGTTGTGGGGAAGAAAAGTTAATTTTAATAAAGATTACAAGTGCACATGATTTAAAAAAAAAAGTGCATGAAATAAAAAATATTGTTGATATGATTTCATGGTGAACATGAGTCAGTACTCAAAAACCAAAGACGTCCATCTGAATCTTGTATGGCTATAGCAGTCTGAAGGATAATTTAAAGATGCATCCTATAAGGAAAACTAAAAGTGGATGACTAGTCGTCCTTTTTGACAGATCTGTTCGGTTATATATATAAGTTCATATTTAAAAAAAAAATTCAGTAATGTTTTACAACACTAAAATAAATTTGTACATTGTTTATAACCTTTATTTTTATCTTTATAATTTATTTTTTACATCTAACTGAATAATGATTATCATTGCTTTTGTCAAACTGAATTCATCTATTCCAAATCTAGTTTACTTTGCCGACTCACCTGCTGATTTTGCTGTTAGCCGGACTCTCTTAATGCAAATAACGCTGCTCTCATTACGGTGAGAATGACTGCGGTGCTGTCACAGTAAGGAATGCATTCCAAACAGTGTAAGGAATTGGCTGCTAGCTGCAGCATTCGCTTAAGCCTGATTAATAGAGCTGCCTCAACTGAGCTCCAGTCATTAAAGTACCATTGGATTTAATAAGTCTCTCTCTCACTCTCTCTGCTATCACTTGGACCTGTTCTGTTCCCTTTATCATTTCTCTGGCACACTCTAAGCCACAGGCTCTCACCTGGGAGTCTTAGATTGAGCTACAGAGATGTCTACAGCAGATATACTCTGTTGTCAGTGGTGTTGACTTTTGATGTATAGGAATTCTAGTTCCGAAAACTACACGGCTGGATCTTGACAAAAAAATCATCCATTTTGAGAGAATCATTCTACATGAGAAAAGGAAAAATTCATAAATATGAAATATACTTTGAGGAATTTCAAATGCAATCATTGTTATTGTGTTGTCAGGGTCTGGAGGTGATTGAGTCCACTAACCTGAAGTACTTCACCAAGGAGATGACCGCCGAGTTCTACGCTCTCAAGGGCATGTTCTTAGCCCAGATCAATAAGTAAGAGTTGATCCCTGGGTTTGTTCATCTTTTCTCCTTTTCTACCTGTCACTTTGAGTCTTCTCCTTATCGCCCTCATTCGCGCTCTCTTTGTCTTTAATTGACGCCGCTCTCGTTATCTTTTATTTTGTGCACGAGTCTTCGCACTAACAATAGAGAATCGGAAACCAAGATCATTAAGAGCTCACTTTTTAAAATGAACAATTTCGACAGAGTCATTATGGAGAGGAAAAACAAACATCTGTGTGTGCCCGTGCGTTTTTGCCACTAATCATCACTTCTAAAACTTTAGGCCAATAACGAGGTCAGAACAGTCTCTAATCTTTCTGAAAGATAACCTGTGTAATTGCTGTGGTTTTGGGGTCACCTGACCCCAATCAGATGAATGTCTTAGAGCATTCTGTATGCTAATGAAGCTGAATAGTGAGTTCATGGGTTTTCTTGGGTTTCGCAGCAGGTTCTAGCTAGCCACATAGATTTGCCATATTGTGTGATATACAAGTAAAATGCTTTCTCATATGAGGAAAAAAAAGTAGGACAGGACTAGATTTTAACCATTGGGAATTGATTGGATCATTGTTGTTTGTTAATTGTTACATGTGTGCACACTGCACACGTCACCAGAGAATTATGTTGTGGGGAAGAAAAGTTCATTTTAATAAAGATTACAAGTGCACATGATTTAAAAAAAACTGCATGAAATAAAAAATATTGTTGATATGATTTCATGGTGAACATGAGTCAGTACTCAAAAACCAAAGACGTCCATCTGAATCTTGTATGGCTATAGCAGTCTGAAGGATAATTTAAAGATGCAACCTATAAGGAAAACTAAAAGTGGATGACTAGTCGTCCTTTTTGACAGATCTGTTCGGTTATATATAAGTTCATATTTTAAAAAAAATTCAGTAATGTTTTACAACACTAAAATAAATTTGTACATTGTTTATAACCTTTATTTTTATCTTTATAATTTATTTTTTACATCTAACTGAATAATGATTATCATTGCTTTTGTCAAACTGAATTCATCTATTCCAAATCTAGTTTACTTTGCCGACTCACCTGCTGATTTTGCTGTTAGCCGGACTCTCTTAATGCAAATAACGCTGCTCTCATTACGGTGAGAATGACTGCGGTGCTGTCACAGTAAGGAATGCATTCCAAACAGTGTAAGGAATTGGCTGCTAGCTGCAGCATTCGCTTAAGCCTGATTAATAGAGCTGCCTCAACTGAGCTCCAGTCATTAAAGTACCATTGGATTTAATAAGTCTCTCTCTCACTCTCTCTGCTATCACTTGGACCTGTTCTGTTCCCTTTATCATTTCTCTGGCACACTCTAAGCCACAGGCTCTCACCTGGGAGTCTTAGATTGAGCTACAGAGATGTCTACAGCAGATATACTCTGTTGTCAGTGGTGTTGACTTTTGATGTATAGGAATTCTAGTTCCGAAAACTACACGGCTGGATCTTGACAAAAAAATCATCCATTTTGAGAGAATCATTCTACATGAGAAAAGGAAAAATTCATAAATATGAAATATACTTTGAGGAATTTCAAATGCAATCATTGTTATTGTGTTGTCAGGGTCTGGAGGTGATTGAGTCCACTAACCTGAAGTACTTCACCAAGGAGATGACCGCCGAGTTCTACGCTCTCAAGGGCATGTTCTTAGCCCAGATCAATAAGTAAGAGTTGATCCCTGGGTTTGTTCATCTTTTCTCCTTTTCTACCTGTCACTTTGAGTCTTCTCCTTATCGCCCTCATTCACTCTTTCTTTGTCTTTAATTGACACAGCTCTCGTTATCTTTTGTTTTGTGCACGGGTCTTCGCACTGACAATAAAGAATTAGAAGCTGAGATCATTAAGAGCTCACTTTTTAAAATGAACAATTTCGACAGAGTCATTATGGAGAGGAAAAACAAACATCTGTGTGTGCCCGTGCGTTTTTGCCACTAATCATCACTTCTAAAACTTTAGGCCAATAACGAGGTCAGAACAGTCGTTAACAGTCAATATGAGAGTATGATGAGTAATTAACCTTATATAGCATGACTGAAGCAGAGGATAATGACACTGAACTCATGATGAGTGATTATCTCCCATCATACTTCTATTGACTGGCATTTTCACGAGTCAATCAGCATTTCCTGGTGAGAATCTGTCATGTTATTGGTATACATCTCAGAATACTGTAGATTAATTTGTAGTGCAATCAAGCCAGGTGTTTAAAACTGCCTACAAGATATTCAAACAAACGGATGTGGGTCAATGACCCATAAGGAAACATCTAGTTTAAAATATTTTTGCCAAGTTCAAAGAAATACAATCTATTCTTGTTGGTTTCATATATTAATTGAGAGAGAAAAAGTTATATTATACACTTATTACAACATTATTACTTTTTTTTATCAAAGTGAATTTTAATTCACAAATTGAAAGGCTGTTTATCATAGAAGAGGTGAATTCAAGTGATTGTCACTATGAATTGCATTTTTATTAATAATTTAATATATCTAGACTAAAACAGATCATCATGTCATTCAATAATAAACAGATAACTACCCTCTTTTTTGCGACACAATAGCTCTATATCTATACACATGCTGAATAATTAACGCAATAGCAATTTGTGAAATCTCTGTGATCAGCAAAAGTTTCCCCCAGCCTCAGCAGGGCCTAATGTAATTACATTTTCACTATTTATTAAATATAAACATAGGGATTTGATAAAGCAGTAGAGCTGTTGGAGGAAGATGTTTGACACTTGACTGGGCGTGGGGACTTATGTGCTCTCCAAGCCCGACTCTCGGCAAAGGCCATAAGCAGAAACATATTATACATGTCCAAGACTGACGTGACGCTTCAGTGGATTTGGGCTCCCCAGACTCCCGTTGCAATCAAGTGTAATTTTGTTGCTTGCCACATACTCATTAAAAGTTCCCATTATATGTGATTGGTTTAGTAGGTGTGTCGTAGGGTAGCATTTAGAGATGGTGATGGTAAGGTCAGAGGCTTCAAGCACAGATTATGAGTCCCATGCAGTGCTTTCAATCCCTTATAAAGCCATTTATGAGCCTTTCTCAACTTCTATTCTTAAACTGCTTCTTCTATAAAGGGCCCTAGAAATAACGCTCTAGGGGGACAAATTCTCAAAGCTCAAAAACGGCTGATGAAACAAAATATTGGACCTGGTCAGCTAATTTCAGTTAGGTGCTGTAATACTGGATAGTTAAAAAAAAAAAATTCTGTCAGATACTCCTCAAATTTATAGTGAAATGCCGATAAGAAGCGGATATATAATTATGATAAAGTTTAAATGCCACCTGTTTACCAGTGAACCATTGGCAGATATTTTACTGACTTAAGCTTAATCCACCAAATTACTCATATTCTTTGCATTATTGAGATTTCAAGATTGTAATGGTCAGTTGAATTGTCTCTTCTTCTAGGTCAGAGGAGGCAAATAAGGCATTCTCTGCTGCAGTGCAGATGCATGATGTTCTGGTGAAAGCCTGGGCAATGTGGGGCGACTACTTGGAGAACATCTTTGTTAAAGACCGCCAGCCCCACCTTGGTGTCTCCGCCATTACCTGTTACTTACATGCCTGCCGTCATCAGAATGAGAGCAAGTCACGTAAATACCTTGCCAAGGTACGATCTCTTCTCTCTTTTCTCTTCTGCTGACCTCACTGAGTGACTGTGCCAAATGGTATAATTTAGAAATGTGTGTAAAACTGCCCAGTCGTGTTATTTCTATCTAGTGGTATACATTTTTTTATGATGTCAAACATGAGCCCACAAATCAATATAACAAATTATTTTATTTTCTACATTTATTTTCTGTTATTTACATATTTTATACCTTTAGGTTAACTGTATATTTCAGATAGTTAAAATATATATATTTTTTGTTTGTTAATGATGATAACACTTACAGCCTGACCTTTGCAACACTGCTGAAACGTTCAGTGAACTTTCCCATGGGTTGTGATCAGTGAAAGGAGGGAAGAAAGAACTACTGATCATTTGTGCTTTGTAATCTAGAGGGCAACATGTACTTAGTGTTTTTCTTGTCAATAAGAGGCAAAAATGGTTGGCAGAGCATCTTTTTTGACAGGCCTGTAATTAGTTTTACCATTAAACCCATTTCCCATAACACACAGGCAAACTCAGTGCTCATTTGTGGTCCAGTAAACCCATTCTGCTCTGATGACTTTGTTAAATGGGGGCATATCTGTCACTGTGTGCCATTTCTGAATTAATGCAACTACAGCAGGGGGGATGCACTGCATTCAGACTGATGAACCTTCAATGATGGATATAATTATATTATTAGACCTGATGATGGATTTTGTATGGATACTACATGTCAGTCTGCTCTTTGTTAAGTACTGTATGCTAGATCAAACAGCTCCATTAGTTTTTTTCCAGTGTGGGTTTGACTGCGAGGAGCACTTTAGATTGTGTCCTGACTGCTGCTGGCCCCTAAAGCTTTAGAGACGGTGGCGTAGTTTACACATAATTAATGAGAGTAGCTCGCTGATTATCAGTAATTATCCATAAGCCGTGTAGCCCAGGCTGTCCAGTGCTAAATGTTTCCATCAGGCTTCAGCAGAGATGAAGGTTCATCTGTTACCATCCCACCAGCCACCATAGCAGAGCCCCACAAACAATAGCAAGAGAAGACAGCAGCTGACTGGTGGGAGTGAGGCGGCCGAGATGATTTTACAAGCCATTAAGCCCTGGAGTAGCTATTTCATGGAGCTGATGGCATCATCTTCAATCGCTGACATAGATTTAGTTTAAAATGAAAACGTTACCTGGTCATTCACAAAGGTTGATGAACATTTCATCCAAACTGACTATTTATGAATGTTTGTGGTAATTGACTTGATGAAAACTTGACTTTCCAAATTAGAGATTTGTGAACAACTGTACGTGTGCATGAGGAGATATTATGCACAATAACGCAAGGAAAAAGGAAGATAAAGTGAGCAATTGCAGGAAGTTTGCATTTTAAATGTCCATGGCATTAAGAATAAAATGGTTTTTACTTCGAATAAAATGTCAGTGTCATATTTCTTTATTTTACATTATTTCTGGCTGTTTCAATGAAAATTTGTAGACACAATGTATTTTTAAAAATATATGATTTTTTTTTGTCCTGCAGCAGGGTTTGTAAAATCAGAACTGTTGCCAAAAGAGACAGTCTCTGTTCTTCTTCAGGTGCTGTGGCTGTTGAGTTTTGATGATAAGAACACATTGGCTGATGCTGTGGACAAATACTGCATTGGAGTGCCGCCCATCCAATGGCTGGCCTGGATCCCTCAGCTCCTCACATGTCTGGTTGGCTCAGAGGGGAAACCTCTCCTTAACCTCATCAGCCAGGTTGGATTGCTCACTATATTACCTTTTTATAGCAGCACATTCATGCTTGATATATCCATCTAATCAAGATTAATTTAATTTGCTGTCTTCATTTAGAGACGGACTGCATTCAAGACCACCTTTGTCAAATTCACAGTTTTACTGGTTCCCTTTTTATTTATTTATGCAAAGCAATGTTATTGGGTTAATATCAAACACTCTCCAACTGTGGGAACAGAACCGCCAATTAAACAAGAGACTAATTTGCCCTCCTTGATGGAGTATTATTTCCAAGCCATTTAAAAAGCTCCTGAACTTCAAAGAGGAAACAGCTGCTCCAGGGGCCCAAAGAGAGAGGGAGAGAAAAGTAGAGGAGAGCATTCTGTGTATTTATCTCGCATAAAAAGATGGCAAAATCCCCCTCTCATTCCCTGACTTGTTCCAAACGGGTTTTGCATGCAGCTCGACAACCTTTTTTCTCACGTTTACATGCCAGACCAGCGACTTCTAATCTCTCAATTTCAGCACTGACACACCCGTGCAGTGGAAATGCTTCACTTTAAGATTAAGTACACTCGAGTCCCTGATAAGCACCCAATGAAATGGATATGTTTGCACACCATAATCTCAATTAATGGAGTTGTCAAGGCTGTTTTAGGGATGACAAGTCTCCTTGTTGAAGGATCCTTGGGTCTGATCTAAGGCAGTGATGACGAGTGAAAGGTAGACGTTTTGTAGAACTCTTGATTTTCAAGTGAAATCTCCAGCGGATGGCGCACCTTTATCTCAGGGTCTGAATTATTTAGCTGTGCTCCAGTTGGCGGGATGTTTTAAAAACGTTTGGTGAAATATTGATGAAGGTGAGCTGTGGGGTGCCTTGAGATGAGACTGAGTCGAGAAAAACTCAACACCTTTATGCACGCAGACACCCATCACATGTACACTCGCACACACCCTAAAATATGATGAGACTTTTCTCCAATTTTAGGGTGATCTGTCCCCCGCTGCCTTGTTCATTTTTAATGCTATACTTAACAAGCTTTTAACAGAAGGTCTTGGCCATGGCTGCCTTTAATGTAAAAGCCCATCTGGACTCCGAGGTGTCTCTTTACACCTAAAGGCCAGCCTGCTTTCTGCCGTCTGTTTGACGAAGATCGTGTTTCCACTCTAATGGGCTGCTTGAGCCTGGGTGCTGTGAGACCTAAGAGGGGCTGCGGGTGGTTTGAGAAGGAGCGCTGTCTACCGCCTCCATATTTGTCTTCACCCCCCCAACATTCACACCCCTCACAGATATCGCAGTGCCAGGGAAGAACGAGGAGAGGAACAAGTTGAAAAACATGTTTTTGGGACTATTACATAACAATTAGAAGATCCAAAGATTGGGTTATGAGTCAGACTTTTCTGTCTGTTAGATTTATACTATAGAGCTTGGGGGCATTTTACTTCAAGAGATGTGAAATAAGAAAATTTGGACTAAACTGCTCAATTCATATGGATTAGTTTTATGATCTATTTATGAACTTTTTGATGCATCAAAGTGGTAGTTGCATAGACACTCTATGGAGGGTAAGTAAATAAATAATAGTATTAAATAAAATTTAAAGGGGTGGTTAACTGCTTTTTTTCCTTGGCTTGATTGTGTTTATGGGGTGCAGTGTAACATGTCTTCATGCTTCGTTTTTTTTTTTTTTAAATGCCTTATTTTTCATATATTTTACCTTTATTGTAAGCCGCTGTCTCCATTGTTATTTGAACGGCCGGTTGACGTCCTGTTTCTATGATACCACTCCCTCAGAAATACGCAATGGGCTCAGTGATTCGTTAACCACGTACTGCATGCACATTGTCCGGAAACTTCACGCCCATTACGGGCAATAGTTGCATGTGCTCCAGTGGAATGTAAATAATGGCGCCAATATTGCCGTATCAATTTGAGCCAGAGTCAGACCCAGATAGCAGTAATGAAGTTAGCATTTAGTAGGGCTGCACGATTAATCAAAATTAAATTGTGATTAGGCAGAAGCTGCGATTGTCATGCGTATCTTTCAGTGAAGAACGGTTTTGTGATCAGCAGTAAATCTCCATCCGAAGGCCAGAGGGCGCTCTCGTGCGGAAACTTCAAATACGCCTCGCAGAAGAAACCCAGGAAATACCTATAGCGGTTGCTGAATAAACAGAAGATTTAACTGCTTTCATTAATTCAACTAATAAACACATGACTCTGAGTTCGTCTTATTATAATTTTTATTATAATAAAGTATATAATAATGCAATGCTAATCAATATAGCCTTTATCACTGCTTAGAATACTGTGAAATATGTTGCGTGCCTTATTCTGTGTAATAAGCCACATCATCTCACAGAAG